CTATGACTATGACAAAAAGTAGAACCAATAATTTTTATTTGTACCAGTAGAGTTTACGCGACATAAACTTCAGTGGCATATACAGTATAGGGATTAGGGTATATTTCTTTTGGCTATATAATCTACAGATAATAAATTGCCGGAGCCAAAAAAAATATTTTCTAATACTGGTTTTTATATATTTTTTAATTCGGCTATAGGTCCCTTTTTTGTTAAATAATTTAACGTTAAATATTTTTTATTTTACTCTATATTTGGACTGTCCGTGAGAGTTATCATCAGGAACACGATCTAATATACATAAATATTACTAAAACTATATCTGCGTCATCCTTTTCATGCTATCGTCTATATATTTTTAAATATGTCACATCATCCGCTCTTGACACAATCCTGCCTATGCCACTTAGTAATTTCAAAAACCTAAGCATAGGGAACTAGTACCAGCAATAATATATAACATAACAGAACCAGCGTAAAAGTTTTACTCGCAACTGTTAACGAGAAGTAGGTAATTTTATGAAACTGTATCTGCTATGCAAACTGAAGTGTTTGGCAACTGCAGAGCAATGCGTGCATCGTGTGAAAAGCATACACGACGATGAAAGAAATGTGACATTACCTTTTTCCTAAGAAGGAAATAAGTTTTAAACGTGTTCCAGTGCCGTTTAGCAAACAACCACACAAGCCCAATATGAGGGTCTGATCTCCAATATTTGATTTACTTATTTTTTTATTTTTTTTTTGTTTTCCTTTTTTTTGTGGAGTTGTACAGCGCAAAGAAAGACACACGTAAAATTCTTTATAATTTCTTTACATTTTGTTATTTTCTTTCTTTTCGTTAAAGCGACTACACTTAACATGCAGAACATAGCATGTTCAGCGGGTAACGCAGAATAAAGAGAGTGAAAGAGAGAGAACGCAGACTACAAGGCTTTAAAATGCAATTCAGAATTTGTGTTTTTCAATCACAAGAAAAACCAGTTTTCGACCCGGCATTTCATCTTTTAGTTTCTTTTGTTTTTGCTGCTTGTTTTTTTTCTGCTTTTGTTTCTCATTAAAAATGTCACAAAGCACATGAAAGAAATTTTTGGAAATTAAAAAAAGATTTAAACTTGAAAGACGTTAAAACCTGTAAAAAAAACTTGTTGGCAGCCAATAAATATTTTGCAAATTTCTTTTTGGGTGAAACTAATAAGAAGTTAAGTTGCAACAAAAATACTCACCATTTAAAAAATCTTTATTTTATTGAAATTTATTATATTTATAATATTTATATTAATTAAAAACTTATTTATTATATTTATTTTATTTTGTTAGAATTTATTATGTTTATGTAAATATTTTATTTCAATTAAAAATATATTTATTTAATATTTTATTTTTTGAGACACTTTTAATTTATTTAATTTAATTTTTATTAACACAATTTTATTGTTTCTACTTTTAGACGCAAAATGAATCGTAACACTTTTTGCACAATATTGCTTTATTAACTAATGATTAAATAATAAATAATAAGATTAATGTGGTTGTTTAACTTAGTAATATAATTTCACGCTTCTCACTTAACAATAACTTGTATATTAAAATTTCATACTTTTGATTATTATTCAGTAGATTATTATGTTTTAAATAACTTTAAACTCTTTAATGGCTTCATTTAACAATAAAACTATTAACAAAATTTCATATTCTTTATTTTGTTTCTTTCTATTGATATTCTATTGAACACTCAACACAACAACAATACTACAAGCTGCGCTTACACAATTCAGTTGAAAAGAACAACTACCCGACACAACATCCAAACCGATTCAACATTCAAATGAGAACTGAAAATATTCCTCTTTTTGGTTCTTGTCACACTCATATCGATCAGCGTAGTTGAATACAAGAGACAATTGTAACGTATACTTTCACACGAGTGAGAGGGCACACATGCAAGCAAAAGCAACAACATAAATTACTCGCTACTTGTTTGCTGCATTTACCTGTACGCGCTAACAAGCAGATCACTTTTTTGTTTAGAAAACTGTTTTTTTTCTATTACTTCGTTTTTTTTATGCAATTAAATTATGTTAGTACAAGTAAATGATAAAAAACATTGGAGGGTGCAATTTATGAGGTACATTTTGCTGCCTTATTTTTCTTTTCTGTTGCTATTAGAAAGCACAGTATTCTTATAAGTTTAACATTAATTAATTAATTAATTATTAATTTTGTAGTACACGTCAGAAGAGTATCTTTTCAGATGTGGTGAGATGGTTGTGGATAATAAATTTAGCAATAAGTAACGTAAAAAAGAAATTTAATTGAAATTAAAGCCTTCCTAAATTATTTCGTACCACATGCATACAATATATATTTTTTATATATAAACAAATATTTTTTTAATAAAGTTATTTTATATAAACTTTTTCAAAAAAGCCTTCTGAAATGAAGGAATAACCTTTACCGGCTCTAAAGATGTCTTAACTTTTAACTTAAACCAACTGCAGAATCGGGATGTATAAATCCTCATCTGTTGCTTATCATGTGGATGTGGTATGCAGCAAAAATAGATGTTTCATTTTGAGGTTGCAATTCTGTATTAGTATAGCATTCCTGCATTTCATACACCTTGCAATGACTTTGCGAGACAAAGTAAATCCCCCTATTGTTTTCCATATACAGTCAAACTTCCATAACCCGAACTTCTATAAATTGAATTTTCTATAACTCGAACCAAAAGCAGTGCACTAAGGTTTTAGAGAGCAATGAGAACAATTGAGAGAATGATTATATTGAACTTGACAATGAAATTTTTACATCAAGCTTTAGTGCAGATGTCGATATTATTGAGAACTATAGCTCTAAATTACTGGATCCAATTCTAAGCGCAATGGAACATCACTTTCCGTTGCGCTACGGTGGATGTAATTGTTCATCAGCCTAATAAGAAGGAAGTAGAAGTCTCATTCAAATATCTGAATTTATATCTGCAAACGAATGATACTACAACTGATGATCACTATAAGTCTTGGAATAAATTGGAATCTTTTTTTACTAAAAATAAGAAAAAAAATTAAAATTCCAAAACCTAATTTCTGAATGTTTCACTTCACTCCATAAGTGGAACCTTTTCTTTGTGAAATTAGACTTCGAGTTATGGAAGTTTAAGTGTATATATATGAATGGCTATATATTAATATTCATGCAATTATTATTTTTAGTCCGTTAAAAGTAGCCTTATGAACAACTTATTCTGTAAAGATATATGTGGATACACCTTAATAATACAAACGATAATTATAGGCGTCACTTAGCGGGAATTGATACGTGAGATTTTTATAGTTTTATAATGAACACTAATGTTAAATAACTCCTAAGTTTACAATTTTGAGAAATAAAATATTGTGAAAGAGAGACCCATATGTGAAGTAACATTACACAGCATAGCAAACATTATAAAAACTCATTACGACACTTAGAAAATTTTAATCATGTCTTATTTTATATACAAAGGTACTGAAATTATGATTTGATAAAGTAAAAAAATTTTTTTAAACATGTTTAAACATTTTTAAACAAATAATTAAATATGCTATACTTATATATAAAAAGCAAACATAATTTTTTTAAATACTCATTTTAAATAAGGCAACAGAAGTATAATTTTAGGGTGCATTTATATTGAGCAAAAATACTACTTTTTGATATAAAATTAAATTTACTTTAACAATATTTGATTTATTTTACAGTTTTGAATACCATATATTAATAATATTAAATTTAATCTAACATTTATTAATTAGTTTACACTTTTGAATATCATATATTAATAAAATAAATTTAAATAAACATTTTTTGAATTCTTTATATTTCTATAATTTTTCCGCACATTTAAAAATTTATATTTTTTATATTAATATGTTTTAACAATTTTGAACACTTAAAGCTTATATTGTTTTTATAGTTTAATATTTTTCAACAACATTTTTCAATAACAATTTCATAACAACCCTGTTACTAAAATATTAAAAAGTACACTTTAGTGTAAGACTGCATTTTTTGAAATGCAACCCTAATTTGACAACAGCTGTGTAATGTCAAAATAGTATTATAAAACTGAAAAAAGTTTAGTCGTAGAAGAAAGTTGTTGGCAATTGGTAAACTGGTGGGGTGTGCAGCTGTGAAAATTGTGATTTTGTTGAAATTGCAGAACCCCAATTTACCTGATTGCCTGTAAAAAAAAATTCCAAATTTGAAATACAGATATTAATAAACATTTTGTAAATAAACTAAAAATATAAACAGATTCAAAATTGCTAAGTGACTAACAAGAAAAAAAATATATAGATATTTATTGAAAACAAATTGAAGAGAAGTTACAAGATAAGAGGTCACTGCTCTAAATTTAAGAAAATAAAATAAAAAATTCATTGTTCTTATGGAATAGAAATATTTATAAAAATCTAGTTTATTAGAGGAAAAAATGTTCAAAAATCAACGATTTGTGTAATTAATTTATTGATGAGGTGAGATGCCGAATACAAAATTATTTATTATTCATTTGACATTACTATTTTTTGTTTTTGTATTTTTTTACCTGGCGGTGTTAGAAACCTAAATTTTTGCTACTAATTCAATTTGCCACAAAACGAGAGACTTCGTAACCAGTAACGTCCTTCAAGCGCGCAGCACACCCAGCCGAGCATCACTAAATCAAGTGTACTTAAGCCCGCCCGCCCACTTAACCATAGTGTGTTATGTTCTTCACTTTTTATTTTTTTGATCCATGCATCAATTACTCCTTCTCCTCACCTAATATGTTTTCGTTGTCTACATCGCTGCCACCTGCCAACTTGTCTAGTAGCATCCGAGTACAGACCTTCTTTTTTAGTTGTTTTTATTGTTGTTGTTTTTGGTTTTGGATATGTGGCAATGGTTTTGCATTATTTTTATTTATTATTTTTCCATATTTGGAGTGTGTAAGCAAGGTTCTTTCTCTGCTTTACCTTTTCGGTTTATCTTCACAAAATGTCTTTGACATTGCGAACGTCATTTTTATTTATTTTTTTATTATTTATTAATTCGGTTTTGCGTACACAACTTGCAATTAAGTATTTTGTAGGTGTAAAATACTTCGAATTTGTTGAAATTATAGGTGTGTGTCCGTAATTTTCCGGCATTTGATTAAATTCAAATTTATTCGTTTACCGCATTTCTTCTTTGGTTTCCGTTTGTTTTTACCAGTAAATCAAAAATAATTTTATTAACAATTTCACGCGCTCAAAGACTTAAGCACTCTACACCGGGTAATTAAATACTAATTACGGACGTAAAACTTTTAAATAATAGCAGTTATAATAACGTAATAGATTGAATTGAAGCTAACATTATAATATTAATACGAATATATAAAATAATTTAACTGGAAAATCAAATCGAAATACGGCGTCTATCAACATCCATTCCATATGCCTGAATATGTCCATTTACTTACACAAAAAAATTTTTTATATTTCTAAAAATATCGTATATGAACTATATGCAATGACAACCGAAGTTATGAATCTAAGACCACGGGAGTCATAGCTCGCAGCTTCGGCTATTCTGACCAGTAGAGATTGGGCCCTTAAAACAAGTGTCGTGGTGGCTGTAGTGAAAACCCAAATAAACGCGGGTACAATAACAGTAATCATTCACTTTCATTCGAAGTGGAGTTGCATTTTCCAACTGGGTGCTGTGACAACAATAGTACCATCACCTACCTTCCATCAAGTCAAAAGACATCTGTAAAGCCATTATGTTCAAATTAGATTTGAAACTTATTTTAGGAATAATAGAAATGTAACTCATAATATAGCATTATAAAGCAGAAAACATTAAAGGAATTATAATAAAAATAACTGGATTAGAACGCGATTATGCGGAGAAGAAGAAAAAGTATTGTTTGAGATATTAAAGGAGTAAAGACATAGAAGTATAAATATTAGAACTGGTTTGGTATGGTACATTGTATATAAGCAATGTACCATACCAGACGAACCACTTCAGAAATATGTGCGGTTTACATCGTCGATTTTCATAGAAAAATGTATAGTTAAATTGACCCGGGGATTATCACACATCGTAAACTTTATAAAGTCCATATATAACTACGAATAAATTCAACCATTTCGTTAATCCAGTCAGACCATAAAACTTGATTTAGTACAACTAAAGTGAATAGTTATAATTGAATTATGTATTGTAAATATTCATTGAAATTATTTGAAGTCCTAATTGTTTTGTATCATTGATTTGTGATAATCCTAATTGGTTTGTGTCACATCTAATAGGGTTTTATTAAACCTATTTAGTTTGTAACAGATCTAATTGATTTATATCAGACCTAATTGGATTGTGTATGGAATGGAGATAAGAACAAGCATAAAATTATACATTTGAATTATAAAAAAAACTAAATGACCACTTTGGGCACAAACGTATATCAAATATATTAATGTTCAATTTATTATAATAAATCAATGCTAGCTTAAACGTACTCTCACAAATTATAGACGTACTATTTTCTTTTTTGTTTTAATTCGTTTTTATTGTATAAAAATGAATTAAATAAAAATTTTATTTACTTAGTGTCTGTGAGTCCAATAACTTCCATCTCTCGTCGGTTTATCAAGTCTAAATAAATGCGTCCTCTTGCTGATAAGAAATATGATTAAGTAAATGACTTTAACTATAAAAAAATGGATGATTAAATTCTATGACAAATTGTCTAAAATAATTATAAATAAAATATTTATATAAAATAAATGAATATGCAGCTTTATACGTTTAGAGCCCA